GACCTAAACCCTTCCTCTCCTGACCTAAACCCTTCCTCTCCTGACCTTAACCCTTCCTCTCCTGACCTAAACCCTTCCTCTCCTGACCTAAGCCCTTCCTCACCTGACCTTAACCCTTCCTCTCCTGACCTAAACCCTTCCTCTCCTGACCTAAACCCTTCCTCATCTGACCTTAACCCTTCCTCTCCTGACCTTAACCCTTCCTCTCCTGACCTAAACCCTTCCTCATCTGACCTTAACCCTTCCTCTCCTGACCTAAACCCTTCCTCACCTGACCTAAACCCTTCCTCTCCTGACCTAAACCCTTCCTCACCTGACCTTAACCCTTCCTCTCCTGACCTAAACCCTTCCTCTCCTGACCTAAACCCTTCCTCTCCTGACCTTAACCCTTCCTCTCCTGACCTAAACCCTTCCTCTCCTGACCTAAGCCCTTCCTCACCTGACCTTAACCCTTCCTCTCCTGACCTAAACCCTTCCTCTCCTGACCTTAACCCTTCCTCTCCTGACCTAAACCCTTCCTCATCTGACCTTAACCCTTCCTCTCCTGACCTAAGCCCTTCCTCACCTGACCTAAACCCTTCCTCACCTGACCTTAACCCTTCCTCTCCTGACCTAAACCCTTCCTCTCCTGACCTTAACCCTTCCTCTCCTGACCTAAACCCTTCCTCTCCTGACCTTAACCCTTCCTCTCCTGACCTAAACCCTTCCTCTCCTGACCTAAGCCCTTCCTCTCCTGACCTAAACCCTTCCTCTCCTGACCTTAACCCTTCCTCTCCTGACCTTAACCCTTCCTCACCTGACCTTAACCCTTCCTCTCCTGACCTAAACCCTTCCTCTCCTGACCTAAACCCTTCCTCTCCTGACCTTAACCCTTCCTCTCCTGACCTTAACCCTTCCTCTCCTGACCTAAACCCTTCCTCTCCTGACCTTAACCCTTCCTCTCCTGACCTAAACCCTTCCTCACCTGACCTAAACCCTTCCTCACCTGACCTTAACCCTTCCTCTCCTGACCTAAACCCTTCCTCTCCTGACCTAAACCCTTCCTCACCTGACCTAAACCCTTCCTCACCTGACCTAAACCCTTCCTCACCTGACCTTAACCCTTCCTCTCCTGACCTAAGCCCTTCCTCTCCTGACCTAAACCCTTCCTCTCCTGACCTAAACCCTTCCTCTCCTGACCTTAACCCTTCCTCTCCTGACCTAAACCCTTCCTCACCTGACCTAAACCCTTCCTCTCCTGACCTTAACCCTTCCTCTCCTGACCTAAACCCTTCCTCTCCTGACCTAAACCCTTCCTCTCCTGACCTAAACCCTTCCTCTCCTGACCTTAACCCTTCCTCTCCTGACCTTAACCCTTCCTCTCCTGACCTAAACCCTTCCTCTCCTGACCTAAACCCTTCCTCTCCTGACCTAAACCCTGACCTAAACCCTTCCTCATCTGACCTAAACCCTTCCTCTTGACCTTAACCCTTCCTCACCTGACTCTTGACCTTAACCCTTCCTCACCTGACACCTGACCTTAACCCTTCCTCACCTGACCTTAACCCTTCCTCACCTGACCTTAACCCTTCCTCAGGGTATTGAGTGTAGGCCCTTCTTAAAGGGAGATTTACGGTGAAGGAAACTCCTCTCTGAACAGAGTCTGGGAGGCTGTGGTTGATGGTCAACAGATCCAGAAACTGACAGACTCCATCAATGGAAGGCTTGTGATTGTTATTGAAGAGAAGGGTGGCTGTATTGGTATGTGGACTTTTTTTTTAAATGTCAGAAATGTTTATTTGTAAATGTTCATTTATTTGTATACTATTCTCCCTTTAAAATAAACCAGTGATATGGGAACGTTTTCGTTTTTCCTTTAGTTGCATAATAATTCTGCACACTACTAGTTGCCCAATAATTCTGCACATAGATTTTCTCCTAAGAAAGCCTAAACCTCACTTTTACTTTCTTATATATTCATGTTAGAGGTTTATTCACATTTTGGATTGCACTGTAGTTGTTCAATAATACAATTAATCCTCAAAAATACAACTTGCTTAATAATTGTGCACACAGTGTATGGTTCAATGAGTGTAATGTGAGATTATATGAACAAAAACAACAGGAAGTTATCTTGAAACAGATCTCGTATTCCAGAAGTTAGTAATCATTTCTAATGTAAAAACACTCTTTTTTTGTTCATCCCATGACAACGGGCAACATCTTCTTGTTGTGGTCCAGCTACAAAGACTTCCACAGATACAAACCTATCAGGCACAGTTACATGTAAGGTCACATATGCAAAATGCACTCATTTCTTTTACACATAAATATGTGTCCCCCTTGTATAAAGAGACAGATACAAACCCTCTCTTTCCCTCCTTTCCCACCTCTAAAAACCGAGTCAAGATTTATAGGAGACATGATGTCTAGTTTATTCTGTGGGTTGGCATCGACCATACATGGGGTTGAGGGAACGTCAGCACTCTCAACTAAAGCTGGAGAATGTTCAGTATGGACCAACCCTCCGTGACAACAACACACCAGACTGGGAAGCTGTACGTTTGACATTACTGCGTTTGTTTTACTGTTTAGCTGGTGATGATGATGATGATGAAGCTAGCAAAAAAAGCTCACTCAATATTAGAAACAATGCCTGATGTGCTTAGGAACATAATGTTGCTCTACTTGACCTCCCTGTAGGTAGCATGTAGATAAAAAACTATATTTAACCGCTCCGAGTGTGCTGCGAGGGGGAGGGGGGCGAGACGCCACTGAGAGCCGTGTCTCAGAGCACAGGAGAAATATACAGTAAAGTGTTTAAATGTCTTCCCTGGTGCTCCTGACTACGGAGAGTGATACAAACATTGGAACAGTGAATACTGACTGTCCTAATAATACATAAGTGTTTCAGTTAGACTGTCTGGCAGTGTGTGTGCAAGTTAGCTACAGCCGTCAGGATTCTAGAGTCAGAAACAGAAACATGTTTATTACCACGTAGGTTGACACGTACCAATAATTTGATTTGGTATTGTGGTGCATACATAAAAGTAAAACAAATATTAAAAAACAGATAGAAAACTATTTTAAGAAAACTGATAAAATGACAAAATATAGAAAAATACAGTAAAATATAGCAGTATTTACATTGAAATGGAATAAAATATGTGCAGTAATAAAAAACAAGATATTGTGTACATTGTGTGCATTAATGTAATGCATATAGAGACTACGTTGTGGCTGAGGTAAAGTGTCAGTGGTGGTCCCGGGCCTTGTTTAAGAGGCCGGTAGCGGAGGGGAAGAAACTGTTCAGGTGGCGAGAGGTTTTGGTCCTGATGGAGCGCAGCCTCCTGCCAGAGGGGGGTGAACAGTTTGTGTCCAGGGTGGGAGGGGTCGGCCCGCCTCAGGGTCCTGGAGGTGTGCAGGTGGTGGAGGGAGGGCAGATTGCAGCCGATCACCCTCTCTGCAGAGCGGATGACACGCTGCAGCGTACCAGTGACACTGTACTGTAATTGTTAGAAAAATCGATATCAGCCCATGACACCATCAGAGATGTCTCTATTATCTTCTCGCTGGCAGCGAATGCAGGTTGATACAGAGCTTGGGAGTAACATAGCCGGTGCTCTTCGTTGGTAGCCCTGTAACTGTAATTTTCGGGTTCCCTATGTTGTGATTTGAACAGGTGCTAAAGCCATACGCTCATTTTTTGTTTTCAGTTAAGTTACAGACTCAACTACGAGTCGGGGAGTTCCTTTACTGGTGAGTAAGTAACCTTTTCTCTCTGAAGAGAGTAATAATTGAGAGAACTATTACACCTAAGAGCCCCACCATGGTAAAGCCCCAGTAGGTTTTCCACTACGGGGTAAGGAGAATTACGCTCATTTTTGAGTTTTCAGTGAAAATGTTCCCTGAAGAGTCATAATGGGGAAACTATCACACTATAGAGCCCAGCGATGCTAAGCTCACATGGTTGCCTGACCTGCATGGCTCCACTGCTAGCTGCAGATGGACATGATGAGTGCCCCGCATGCCTCGGTGTTGTCCACCTGAGGGAGGGGCTGACTGACAATCAATGTATGAATTGCAGTTTCATGCCACACGGGCTGAAGGTGGCCCGACTGGCCGAGGTGGAAGGCCCACAGGTTGAGGGTGAGCTACCCCTGTCTGGAGCAGCTAGGTCTGAAGTAAGGAGACGCTCCCCAGCTACGGGTGCCCCCCCTAGAAAAAAGGCCAAGAAGGCTGATAGCCTGGCTATTAAAGTGGGCATGTTAGCATCGGAGTTCTCTGAGATTAAGGGCTTGCTCCTTAACCTTCAGAGGGGTGATATCCCACAGGCTAGAGCTCCTACCCCACAATGGGATGAGGATGCCCTGTCTACGAGGGCTTCCTGTAGCCAGTTGCAAACCCAGCTTGATTGCACCTGGTTTACTATCATTTCTTAAAAGGGAAGTTACATCTGAGTTATCCTGTGTGTTGTAAACTCTTTCAGACAACTTATTTATATATTTATTTTGGTGACGATCCAACCTTCCGAGGCAGCAGCGTTCACAGAGTGCTCCACATGCTACAACTCTTTGTAATGTTCAAACTGCATCCACCAAACAATCTGATTCACCTGTCTCCACCTCCCCAACAAGAACCAAAATCTGACAGCATGTCATGTTTAGCTGTTCTGCCGGCATTTCCTGGGAAAATGTGCGGTCCTCCACGGACACTTTGACCGCTACGTACGCACAAAAACGAGCGAGATGAGAAACTGCCACACCATTGGCCGAAGGAAGAATGGAGAGAAACATGTGAAAAATAATACCATGAATCTAAATATTCCCTCTCATGAATCATATATGAAGAATGAATTTGCAAAAATTGATAAAAGTCTTACAATGATACAATACATACAACTTGTGTTTTGTTGTGTAACTGTAAAAATGACGAGGTTTACGAACCTTGAGCTGAAATGGCCCTAACCTAACAACAATACCAGACAAAGACATGGAGATCAATTATGAGAAAGTCTCAGAAATTGTAAACGTTCTTTTTTACTGTCTTGAAAATTCTGAAATGCGATTGTTTACATAATATTACATTTGATATACTGTAGTTCACCACACGTTCTGCAGGAAAGATAAGAAAGTCATACTTTTGTAGAAAACATTTGGAGATATGCATGAAACAAACATGTAGCAATAAATGAACAAATATTAGGCAAAAATTATGCAGAAATAGGATGAAAAAAAGATACATTTCATACACATATGCAGAAGAGATATTCAGAATAAAGTCTGTGGTTTAATTACATTTGAGTTTAAATAATAACAGCAAGTTCAGAATGAAATGCTATAAACATTGTGGAGAAAAAAGAAACAGTCATGCTATAAACAGTCATGCCATTTTAATGTCATTAAAAAAGATACATTCGAATGAAGGCAACAGATGTGATTTAATTGTAATAAAAATATATATTTAGGGGGGAGAAAATATGTAAACGCTGTCGAAGTTCCTCATATCAAAAAAGGCAATTTTGGTTCTGAACAGCAACCAGCTCATTAAAGAGCCAAGCTTTGGAGAGAGGTATCTAACTTGTAACTCATTTGGGTTAGTCGAGTCACGCTGCTGTGGTGGAGGAACAGAGCTCTACACATTTACAACATCTGAGGTAGAGGAAACACCATGGACTCACAAAGCTCTCCACAATCATCTGCCAGTCAACACAGACACTACGCCAACAGCATTAACACTCTTTCATTCCACTACATTTTGGTCTTCACTAGAATAAATCAAGGCTTTAGGCAAATGCCCGTCAATTACAGCATGACATTCTCCACAAAAAACAAGAAATAAATACAATGTGAAAACATAAAACAAATCCCTTTCTATTAACGGCTAGAACCGGGCACAGAGATAATGATTAACTGCCTTCACTGACTGATGGTCACAGTCCATGATTAGTCACATGTCCTCACTTCCACTTATGCTTCAAATGATACCATACTGTAAATGTGTGATGGCCTTTTATAAGGTGGTGTGTTTTTGGTCCTTAAAGAGGACGCGAGCAGGTGATGACTTGTTATGACCTTGACAGCGTCAGCTACAGAGCAAACTTCATGTTCTTTATCCAGTCCCCTCCAAAACGAGTGGAGCAGCGAGGCCAATTGCTTTATTTTCGCTGTATAATGAAAACAATTAGGTTTGACATGAAAAGATGAAGATGAGACAAAAGGTCAGTACTTCAGCTTTTAACTCCAGGTATTTACATCTAGATCTGTGAACTGAGAAGATAGCACCTTTTGTTTAAACACACCCATTTACCAAGTGAGCAAAAGTATAGGAACACTTCAAAAAGTGTGAAAAGTGAATAATACTTAGTACTTAGTTGTAAATCCTTTGCTTGCATCAATCCTGCGACCCACTGACATCACCAAACGTCTGCATTCTTCTTTGTGATGCTCTTCCAGGCTTTCACCGAGCCTCTTTCAGTTGTTTGAGGGGGTTTCTCCCCAATAAAGCTATTGGCCTCGCTGTTCCTATAGTCTTGGAGGGGACTGTATACCATGAAACATATGAGACTTTACAACAAAGGCACGACATTGTGAATCCATGTCACACGATGAGAGTGTAAAACAGAAAAAGCATTCAAAACAAACCTCAACACTGGTGTTTAACAAAGAAATACTGCTTAATGTCAATGAATAGACAAGGGGTGTTTCTCAATGTCGAGTACGCTTGCTTGGTAGCACATGTCTGCCGAGCATCGTGCTTCAGAAGCGAGTCAAGAATACTTCCTGGCATTCGGAAAACAAAGAGTGGAACAGGCTAGCAAGTGTGCAGGTGTGCGTCATATGAGAGGCCCCGCCTAACATCTTCCCCACAGATTTTGGAAATTGGTCCGTGCGCAAAGCATTGTGGGGATTTTAAGACCGCGGAGTCTACTCATGTGCAGCCTCGATATTTCTCCAAACGGAGTACGCCGGGCTCGGTAGATTTCCAAGTATGCTGGAGATTGGAACAGTACTTCGGCGGCACTCGATGACGTAGTATGCTTGAAATAGTGGCTCTGAAGCAGCTTTACTCGCCATTGAGAAACACCCTCAGTCTACACAAACTAAATGCCAATATGTTTCTAATGAATCAATATTCACGTTCATATCTGAACGCTTGGGTGCGTGCGCTGGACAAGAGTCTTTATTGTTAAAGCAATGGGTTAAGGTATGGGGAAATGAGCTTAGCTTTGCTCCTCGCCCAGTAATAGTCCGGCACATGAACCTCAGGAACACCAGCACTAACATCTTTACATTCATTTTGAGATCAAACACACTGAGCCTTAGAGATGTTCCTCCAGCTGTTCCCAGGCTGGTTGCTAAGCTAAGCTAACCTTCTGGCTTTATATAGTAACAGATAACACAGTGGTACTGTTAGTACTGTTGTGGAAGTGTTTCTGTTGAGCTTCCTCTGGCACAGGAGGTTATGCTTATTCCATATATCACAATTTGATATAGGAATAAACACCATATAAGCTCGATATAAACTGAAATGATGAAGTCACACACACTGGGGGACATCATATATTAAGACTCTTTAAGGCCCCTATCATTTCAGTTTATGGCGTACATACACAATTACCAAACTAATGTGGAATGAATTACAACAAGCTAACTGTGACATGGTGAACGCTGAACCTTGAGGGTCTGGGGCCCCTGAGGGTCTGAGTGGGGCCACACAGAGCTCCTGGATCCAGTCAGCCCCCACCCCACACACTCTGCCTGTCCCTTTGAATTCCATGACCACATCACCCCCAGTGTTAAATGTTGGCTCTAAGACGTTGTTAACAGGAGACGATAAAGATGGCGGCTTCAGGACAAATCAAGTGTTTTTTCTTCTAAGTGTAAGTGGTAGTGTTGAAAACTGATTGTAAAGACTGGCCTGAGTCTGCCTTTCCCTTAAGACTGCCACATCTGTTTTTGGTAGATACAGTGGCTTTAAACTTTGACATTACATTTGTAATAAGCACGTTATGAAAATATGAAATGAGCAGTTTTCTCAAATGTTCTGTTGTTAGACTAGCTCAGTCAAACGATCTAATGCATAGTTCTTCAGGATCACATTCATGTGGAACTGGACTTCACCTTGGATTCTTTCTGATATGGTTCAACACTTTGGCATGCTTTGGTGCTGATCCAGCTGTGTCTCTGTCAGTCTGTCACTTTAGTCACTTAGAGGACAGACTCGCCAGTTTTTCTTCGTGCCTCTTGCTCCGCCTTCTCAGGCTCCGCCTTCTCAGGCTCCATCATCCTCTGAGTGACATCCTGCTCTTTGTTCAGGGCGTCCTCCTTCTCCCTCCTCTTGCGCCTGGCCTCCACCCAGGGTATCAGACACAGCATGGCCCCTCCAACGATGGGGGGGATACCTGCCAGGTAGAAGGCCACGTCGTAGCTTCCCAGTCTGTCCCTCAGGAACCCTAGAGCAGAGACAGAGATGTTCTTATGACTACTGAAACACCATAGAAAGAGCTTCACTGAGTGGAGCCTGTACACAGGGTATCTGCAGGGATACGTGTGTCTCCATTACATTTATATTCAGCATCCTGGAGTTAAATCATGCTGATTACGAGAACCATTGAACACATGCGAGTGGACCTGAGGGAGCTGACAGCAGGCTCTCTGATGACCTCCTATGCAGAAATGTGTATGCACTAATGTCGCGTTTCCACTACACGGCCTCGCTCGGCCCCGCTCGGTATGGCTGGGCCTCGTTAGGACTGGCTCACTTTATGGCGCATTTCCATTACAGTTTAGGAACTGGGGCAGTATCTATAGTAACGCAGTGTAGGCGGAGCCGTGACGTGATCTTCAGAGGACCCCAGAAAAACAACACAGCCGTTAGCTGTTAGCACTCAGAGCTCACAGCTCCTCATATCTGTTCAGAAACTCGACAAAAGTTAAACAAGTACAAACCACAGACTGCCTGTGTCATGGCGAATACAGTCGCTGCTTTATTTATGTCTGTATAGGCCGTTGTTGTGAGTGTGGACGGTCGGGGCATATACTGCGTTAGCTTAGCCAATCTCCATTTAGAAAACAAGCATTTTAAAAGGTTTTTCGCCTGCCGTCTGTCTGCAGACTTGACAAAGCATTAATTCATGGTTTTTAGTAACCGGTATCAGTATGTTGTTACTTCGGCATCATTTTGAAACGTGTATTACAATTAAATCACGGTCAAATATGTCCATCTTGTTGTAGTTGTTGCCCCCTTGCCAGCGACGCTCTCTCTAGTTTAGCATACTCAGCCCGACTCAGCCTCGTTGCCTCTGGCCCTGGCCCCACGATTTTATGAGGCCAGAAAAACTGTGAATTAGGACCAGCCGGGCCGGTACTAGGCCAAGTGGAAACGCAACCAAAGACGGGCCGCTGACGTCACAGCCCTCTTAAACCGGGCTGCGGGCTGTAGTGGAAACGCGCCATAAGGCAACCTGTAGGAAGTACAGGAAGCTGACCATCATTTCAAACATCGTCTTAATGAGAAGCCCAGTCTGTCAGTGTTATCATCATACATGTGAGTCACATGTATGATGTGACAGAGACTAATGAGAAGACTTCAGACTGAATGAAACACAGTGACACGGTGAGCTTCATTACTACAGAGCATGTTAATGATGTCATCATGCCTGTGGTTCCTCTTCATGTTTAAAGGGTGTCTACAATAATGTGAACTGACCTGGACACATGCTGTATCTCTGTGTTGCTTTGTAAGGAACATGTATTTGTATTTGAGAAGGATCAGCTCTGCATATGAATCTGCTGAAGTGCTTCTTACTTTATCTGATTTATATATATTTATATATATAAATATATATATATACTTAAGCAATAGCTCACGACAGGCCGTGGTATATGCTCATTATATCACAGCTAAGGGGGTTGTCGACCCTCCGCTTCGCGTCGGGCCGAACCTCGCCCCTTAGCTGTGATATAATGAGCATATATCACGGCCTGAAGTGAGCTATTGCTTTTATAAAACGGTTACCAAGTGTGGCAATATGAAAGAAAAATACACACTCTAATTTAAATAGTTTTTATTAGTAAATAATGATGTTCAAAATAAAATAGTCCCTCTGTTGCCTTCTGCACGAAACATAGTGCGAGGTGGTTGCTATGCAACAACACTAACAACAGCTAGCGAACATATTAGACAGAGAGCGTTGATCCATTATTTGGCTATTTATTTACATTCATGTGTATTTTGTTTATTGTGCACCCACTGAAAAACTGTCCAGCATCAGTAGCATGGCTTACGTGGTTACTTGTATAGGCTGAGGTTGTTCTAGGCTGTTGTTTGGCGTGGCGAGAATATTGCTCCACTTTCTCCGGTCCCCGAGATTGGGCTTCCAGTAGCTCTGGAGAGAGCTTTCGCACCTGTGGCCACTAACGGTCATAATTTCTCTGCTTTGTTTCAAGACCCGCATCAGAAAGCTTTTGAATGGTGGTACCTTTCCAGTTGGTCTACCTGCTCTTCACGTAGCTCTACATGTCGTTGTTTAGGTGCTTTTTGTTCTGGAGATAGGCACTGCTCAATCCACTCCTCCATAGGACCCCCCCCCCCCCCCGGAGGTCGAAGTTAACCTTAAATGTTTTTGCGGACCTTTTTGATTACAGATTTGAAAACATCGTTGCTTGCTTTAAAAGTAGCACAATTCATTATGTCAAACCTTGGAAAGTATCTAGATATCCCTGCCCTAATGCCAAAGGAACTGCACACTGAATATGTTTTGCCGTTAGATGTCTGTCTGGACCGCTGCGTAAAAAGGAGGGTTTCTGCCCCGTTACTTCTCCGCTGTTTTCTTGTCCCAGTTTGAAAAGCAAACTGCAGGCAGTTTGCTTTTCAGCCCAACTGTATACTGTTTATCTCAGATGCGGAGGGATACTGACTTGTTGTGAAAAGTAACTTACAATTCTACCCGTGGTATACGCTCAGTATACCACGGCTAAGAACCAATCAGATTGCTTGATTTTACTTGTCCGTTTTATAAATATGTATTATATCATTCCTCAGGAATGGAAACATCTTTGGCTGTACTCCCTACACATTCAGCAACTGCAAGATGCCAAAAGAATCACTAGGTGGTGCAAAAGAGCCATGAACAGAAGTTTGAGAGGACAGACACACAGGAAGGAAAAGCTTCTTTACTCTGAGGTCAGGGGTCCACAGACAGGTCAGAGGTCAACTACATTTCATTCAACTTCATTAAGCTGATACTTGTATCTGAAGTAACTACCATACACTTCAATAGAGTAGATATTCTTTCATGAGCAATTAGTGGGTTCAGTATCTACACTTCCACATGTTGACGTCAGGAGCTGGGGATTGAACCACTGACCCTCTGATGGGTAGACGCCCATACACCTACACAGACTGAGTCTTCTACTAGAACTAGTGACTTGCTCCAGATCTCATGAGAAGTCTCTAAATGTACTAAACCCCCACACTTGAATGACACATAGTGGATAGTCAGTGTGCTGTGAGTATTTACTGTATATCATATGCAGGGGCTTATAGAGCATGAACACAGTTTTAGACTATTCCTGTGTTACCTGCGATGGGGGGCCCCACAGTCATGGGCACGGACATCAGGCCCAGCAGGAAGCCGATGGCCTGGGAGACATCTTTGTCTCCGACCAGCTCAAAGGCGATGGGGGCCATGATGCAGATGAAGCAGCCGTCAAACAGTCCCATCAGCAGGCACACGGCGATCAGCCCCCCAAAGATGTTGCACAGAGGAATCATCATGGACATGAGGCCGATGACAAAGAACGAGGCCACCTGGAAGGACACATTCTTACTCCATTATTCAATGGTTTATTTCTCTTTATGTAGGACATTGACATTTATTAAGTGTCCTTGAAAGGTTGCAGTTTCATTTCAAGTTCAAGTTAGTTTGGATTTGAGTGAGTTTTAGTATCACATGACCTTCACAAGTTTAGTTTGAGTTGATAGTGCAATGTAATATGTAATCTTCTAATAGCCTTATCAGTTGGTGAGTACAGAGGTGACCAGCTCAGCTCGGTGTGTTTGCCTCACCTGTAGGTACACTTTGTTGACTCCGTTAACGTAGTCTGCCGCCCTGCCGAAGATGAGACGGCCCACACCGGATGTGATGCCGATGCACATGAGCAGAACTTCTTTACTGGCCTCCTTTCCAAAACGCTCCTCCACATGCTTCATCTGGGGACAGTTAGGACAAGGATGAGCACAGCTGTGTGACACTTAAAACAATGTTAGAAGTGCACAAAGAAACACCACAGGGCTGAAGACAAACATTCAGCTTCATATGTTTGTATGTGTCTTAAGATGTTAAATATCTCTGGATAGCTGGATAGGAAAGCATTAGAGGTGAAAACACAGGTAAGATGAGCCTTTTGGAGTGGCAGCAGCATGAGCATGTCCACATATGAAGAAGAACGTTCACCAAAACAACTCGACAGCGCGACAGCTCGAACCTCCTCCGCAGGCTGAGGAGGTTCAACATGGACTCCAGGATACTCTGCAACTTCTACAGGTGCACCATAGAGAGGATCCTGACCTTCTACAGGTGCACCATAGAGAGCATCCTGACCTTCTACAGGTGCACCATAGAGAGCATCCTGACCCTCTACAGGTGCACCATAGAGAGGATCCTGACCTTCTACAGGTGCACCATAGAGAGGATCCTGACCTTCTACAGGTGCACCATAGAGAGCATCCTGACCCTCTACAGGTGCACCATAGAGAGGATCCTGACCTTCTACAGGTGCACCATAGAGAGCATCCTGACCTTCTACAGGTGCACCATAGAGAGCATCCTGACCTTCTACAGGTGCACCATAGAGAGGATCCTGACCTTCTACAGGTGCACCATAGAGAGGATCCTGACCTTCTACAGGTGCACCATAGAGAGGATCCTGACCTTCTACAGGTGCACCATAGAGAGCATCCTGACCTTCTACAGGTGCACCATAGAGAGGATCCTGACCTTCTACAGGTGCACCATAGAGAGGATCCTGACCTTCTACAGGTGCACCATAGAGAGCATCCTGACCTTCTACAGGTGCACCATAGAGAGCATCCTGACCTTCTACAGGTGCACTATAGAGAGGATCCTGACCTTCTACAGGTGCACCATAGAGAGGATCCTGACCTTCTACAGGTGCACCATAGAGAGCATCCTGACCTTCTACAGGTGCACCATAGAGAGGATCCTGACTTTACAGAGGGTGGTGAAAACTGCACAGAACATCACCAGGACGGAGCTGTAATCCATGGAGGACCTTTACTCCCAGCGGCTCAGGAAGAAAGCCCTCAGGATTATAAAAGACCCCCATCACCCCAGCCACAAACTTTTCTGTCTGCTGCCGTCTGGCAGGCGTTACCGCAGCATCAGGACTAAAACCACCAGACTCAGGGACAGCTTCATCCCACAGGCCAGAAGAAACACCTAAGCTTGCACCTTTTTTATTGTCGTTTTTGAAAATGTATATATATTCTTTTAACTTGTAAATGCACTGTTGAGGAACCTGCGATCTGAGTTCTTCATTCATTACATAACTACACCGTAGTTGTCTATATGTAATGACAAGAAACCTTAAAATCTTGAACCTCGTTTTTCTGCACTGATTCCCCGGTATAATATTTTAATTTGTATGTGTGGTTTGAGGGCGTTCAACATGATTTAGTTTTTTAGGAGAATCTGCAATCCAACTGAATCTCTCACTAATTAGTTAAAATAATGCTGTTTTGTGAAGGAAGCGGTGTTTCTCAGATTGTACACAGGCCCACATGTGACATTACAGTGCATGCTGAAGACCAGTCTCTTGCATGGGATGCTCACTGGTTTGCATGCATTTATCAGAAGACAGGCTGTTTATGTCTGTGAGGTCTTGAGTGTTTAGAAGAGTGAGGGCTAACTCGGCTGCGCTGTGGTGTGTCCGGCAGCAGTGTGTTGTTGTTATAGCCTCACGCTCATCAGAACTGTTATCCAACACATGCCACCTTATCTCCTCTGTGTGCAGCTGCTGTTAGATTCCACTGCAGACTGTTAGGAAGGCAGCTCTGTGTCTCCAGACTCCCAGTCTGAGAGGCCCAGAGTTTGAGAGCCAGTGAGAAAAGAAGGGCCCGCTTTGTGGAGCTACTTCTAGCTCCAGGCAGCAGCATCAGGACACACCCCCCCCCCATGCCACAACAGCATGCTCTGTTCAGAAAGGTCCTGCTCCAAGAAGCAGTGCTGGAGGCATTTTTGATCACTTTTCTTAACCAGAAGAACATGAATTACTTTAAATGATATTCCAGTATCATGATCTCACTCCGGTTATGGAAATTGTAACGCTATGTTTTAAAAGAAAATCTATTTACCGGTTAAATTCGACTTTAAATGAAACATTCATACTGGGAGAAATGGCTTACTATTGCTCACACACGTTCCTACTGATCAGCTTTATGCAGACGAGCAATAGAAAGGCAATATAACTGCATCTGCCAGCTACAGTTAAGATAACAGATGTCTGAGTAATGGCCAAGCAACACAAACAAACACACACTCACACACCGGTGATCAGTTCCTCACAGTGTCGGAGCAGGTTATCTCTCAGTCGTAGTGGCTGTGTAAACACTTCTGGATGTTTGAGGCAGAGACAGGAAGACGTTCCCTATTGAGCTCATTCACACACTGCATCAATAATGTCTGTTATGTATTCGAGGCTTCCAGCCATTTGACATGATGGTGCCGTGGGACGTGTTCACAGATAAAAAGCAGAGGGCTCCTCTGTCCTCCATCACATGCTCTGATAGATTGATCAGTGCTCATCTCACTTCCATCCTGTATTGTGCTCCTGTTGATCATGGAGCTTTAGATCAACCCATGCAGCAATCAGTGTGTCTACATACACTACTCTCACCTCCCATTGTTGTGCACTGAAACATGACAACACCTGTGGCACTTACTGTGTCATAGGATTTATTAACTGTTAGTTTTTTGAGGATGTGTCTTTTATCAAGCTTTTAGGAATACACTCACATATGATGCAACTCAGCTAGTCGCGTGGCAAAGAAGAGCTTAAACATACAAAATAAAAGAATACATGAACTCTCTCACACAGGAAGACACAGGCATGCTGTCCACAAACTGGTTTTCTCAGAACTAAGCTGGGCATTTCTGCAACACTCAACCACTGCATACATTTCCCATGACCCCAAAGTACACTGAACTACAGTGACAGCACTTGTTGGTAGGACATATTCAATGTTGGTTTGGGTCTTTTTTAAATGATAGAATTTGACAAGAGTTCTCTCTCCACGCAGTCCAACACAGGTGTAAACAGTGATATTATATACACACTCCTACTGTGAACTGTCAGCAGTAAAGAGAAGCTGTAGTTGCTGTGAAACACACATAGAAAACAAACTAAGTCAGCAAATGGCACATGGCAAATATACTTTTTTAGGCTGCTTTAATAGTGTGTGTTTTGGGGTTGATTCATTTCTCTTTCAGAGCCCCACTGTGCTGTTCTCTCTGCTTAGCTGTTTAATGGTCACTGAACCCCCCACCGACTCCAGCCCGCACGCTGCAGTCCTGCCGGGGCTCCTCACTAAACACTGAAACAAAACCTCTCGAAAGAAGAGGCAGCTTTCTAAAACAATACCGTTCTGATTACTGATACAAAGTGACTGAAAGAAGGGCGGAACGACGAGCTCATGTGCCGTTCTTCAACATGTGGGGCAAGGCCCTTCAGTCTGAACAAGGCCGTACCTGAAGGCAACATCTTAGATCAGCAATACTTGGAAAATAATGGGCAGGTGTGTGTATGTGTGTGCAAACAACCTAGATTGGACTTCACACTTTTGCATTCTTCCCATACGCGCTGCTTGGTTTGTAAAGACCTGTGTGGGGGGGGAAGTCTCTAAAAGGCTGCACTCAGCATTTCTAATGCAGAGAAGGCGTGAGCAGTGCACCCACACAAAGGACAGACTTCCTGAAAAGCTGAACAATATGCTGTTTGACACCACATGTTATTTCCTTCTTCTCCTTCCAGTGTCACAAGACAGAGCCTGCAGGGGTGGGGCTGTGTGTCGGGTGCTAGAGCTATAAAACCATGGGTGGTGCAGAGGCTGCAGCTGAGGCCCTGTGGTGTCCCAGTCTGAGTAGCAGACACATGAGAAGTGTCAGGAAAACACGTCTTTGGGACCATAACAGAGTCATCATGTCCAGTTAAACAGTCACCCCCTGAGCCCCCCAGCTCGGCTGCCCAGCCCTCCCAACATGTCTCTCCAATATCATATGTTCCCATCCAACGGGCCAAATGAAGGGAGGTTTAGGGAAAGTGACACCTGTTTACAGAACTGGGTCCTGGCTGCAGGTTGAGCCTTCCTGTCATATTTGGTTATTTGATCAGAAGAACACAGATCAGTACCTGCTGCTGCTGTGACGTAGAAACACTGAGACTCATGAGTCTGCACACTGTGAGGACATTAGGTCACTTCAAAATGAAAACTGTTAAGGGTTATTCAACCCAAATAAAAAAAATCCTCGCCTCTTGTGGTAACAAGCAATGAGAATAGCTAGCTTTTACACGACCGACATACAGTATTTCTGTATTTAGTCAATGAAACTCTGGATTTTGATACCAGACTTGGAGATGGCATTATCAAGGATCACATACATAATTGTGAGGTATTCTTTAGGTTAAAATGTTATGTAAATGAAGTTTCTTATCTGACTATCAGCTCATGAAATAAGAACAGGGGTATCATGCTTTGTTGTTTCTTGCATAAAAGATTTCAAAGTGTCTTTTTCTTACAAAGTTGTTCCTAATGGACAGAGACTATTCCTGAATTCTGAGTTACACTTCCCATGGTAACACTTCGTACCATGGTTGAATGCCTGCAGGCTGGGGCTTAGACTTCTCCTCCTCTCATCTTTCACTTTCATAAATCTCAGGTTGCTCGTGTGTTTTTTTGACATCTGTGTTGTTGGAGCTCCCTGGTTTGGTAACCCTAAGTCCTTCCTTGTGCTAATAAACACATCCAAAAGACGGGATAAGGATACTGAGAAATCACACCATGGTATTCCTCTGTTGGCATTGATGTGCTGTTTTTCATCATCAGTGACCTTTAGCCCAGAGAGTGTGGCAATGATACCCAGCAACAACACAGAAACACACAGTGTGTGTGCAGCACAGAGAGAGGAGAGCAGAACAAACTCACCAGGTGAACATAAGGCACAAAGTAGCCGTAGAGGGCTGCTGGGATACCGAAGGCCCAAATGCGATATCCCAAAGACTTCCAGATATGGATGTTGAACATCTTGCTCAAGGGGGGGAAGCGGCTGCCGGTGCGGGTGTTGCCGGGTTTGACGGGCAGCAGGGGCCTGTAGGTGAAGCCGGCCAGCATCAGCACAAACATCAGGATGCAGAGGACCCTCATGGTGTTCTGCAGGCCCACCCGCTCCAGCAGACCCGACAGCACGAAGGGCAGCGTGATGGTGAAGAGGCTGCTGCCCGCCGTCACGATGCCGTTCACTAGACCCAGCCGCTTCTTGAAGTAGTGGCCCAGGATGACCAGGCTGGGCTGGTAGGCGAAAGAGCAGCCACAGGCGAACACAATGCCATAGGTGAAATACAGGGGGCCCAGGGACCTGTGGGGGGGGAGGACGACACACACACACAAGTTACATCACTGTCTTAGCCATTTTGATTTGAATAAGTGTTCCTCAACAAGTTGTCATAGCTGTAACAAACAATGTTAAATGTTGTAAAGGTCAAAGACTCCAGTGTGTGTGCTCCAGGGAAGCTCCAGCATCAGCATTATGAAGTCATTGTTTTATTATGGTTAGTCCTTGCTATTTCATTATGTGCACATTCAAAGGCTGTATAAATTGTAGGCCGACAAAACTGAGGCTACTGCTTCTTTCTGAAGCTATTTAGTGCCAGTCCCCAGGTGGTTGATATAGGTGTCCCATTCATATTAACATTAGGCCCCCTGCTCTGTACTCTATACAGAAAGAAAATAAAAAATGTTCCAAATGAGCACAGCAATGTTTATTTAATGCTGACAATAACATCTTGTATGCCATCAACCATTCTGCAGATTAGAGCTTTGAAAATGTGTTTTTAGCGTTCTATAACTGACTTGTCTTTTGATGTTGTAAAAGGGGATTTTGATCTGAGGAAGACTTCCTGAAGACATGCATCTGTAACCAGCAGGAAGCCCAGTGATTTCACGAGTGTGACTTTTGTCCACTTAGCTTTTCAACAATGGCAAAGGACATCGAACAGCATAATATAAGTGGTTTGGGTCTGGTGGAAAAGGTCCAAATAAATACAGGGTGGTGGGTTCAAGTGGTTACAAAGTCCTGTTGGGGGTAAATACATCTTAGCAGTGAAATCACATGACTAAGAAATGTTGCACCTTACCCGCTGCAGAACTGTGAGGGGGTGGTGAACGCTTTTGACAACAAATTGATAAGCAGTAATTCAACCGCTTTATTACTTGCACCTACGAGTGATAAAGTAAGGGTTGAACACTAGCAGCCTTGTTGGGATCACACATTTCTGTATGTGAGTGTGAGTGTGTCCTCACGTGTAGACATAAGGGATTCCAGGAAATTATTAACAACTAAGTGTGAGGTGCAGAGCCTCTTACCCACTGAGACTTGATGCTCAGCAGCGCACACGCACACACACACACACACACACACACACACACACACACACACACACACACACACACACACACACACACACACACACACACACACACACACACACACACACACACACACACACACACACACACACACACACACACACACACACCACACACACACACACACACACCACACACACACACACACCACACACACACACACACACACACACACACACACACACACACACACACACACACACACACACACACACACACACACACACACACACACACACACACACACACCCACACACACACACACACACACACACACACACACACACACACACACACACACACACACACACACACACACACACACACACACACACACACACACACACACACAGGCTGGAGAAGCAATAATAAAAGGTGATTATATTTTAAGAATCAGTCAATATACAGTATATAGAAACTAAGAAGGATGACATCAATCTGATAACCGAAGTTACTCACTTCCCCATAAACTTGAAGGAGTGAGGGTCATGTATATTTTATGAAGTGAGGACACACATTTGAAAATCTTAATTTCTTCCTTACGTGACAAATGAGCTGGCCAGCAGGCCAACCAGCCCAACAGCTGCCCCCCCCCACTGCCGTTACTCTGCAGCCGAGGATGTCGGTGAAGACACTGACGATGGGAGAGCAGAAGAAGATCATCCCCATGGAGAGGGAGCCCACCCACGCTGCAGGAGACACACACAGTGAGGGGTTATCATTTCATCAGGCACTGCAAAACTAAATCATTGTTTGGATTGCATCCACATGTCTTAGAAACCTTAAGGAACCACATTGGGTAAAAGCTACTGTGCATGTGATCAAGCCTTGAATCTTTGAGTCTTGACTCTTTGAGTCTTGACTCTTTGAGTCTTGACTCTTTGAGTCTTGACTCTTTGAGTCTTGACTCTTTGAGTCTTGACTCTTCGAGTCTTGACTCTTCGAGTCTTGACTCTTCGAGCGAACAAAAGAGATTGTTTTGATTGCCTCTGAAAAAGAGAGCAGAGCTGCTCTGAGTGCTTCATGCTTACTCAGCAGTCTTCTGTGAGCCGAAGGTTAAATACTGCAGCACACCTCTAATGTATGTTCAGATACTCAGGACACATTTACAGCAATCCAGATAGGGATTCTGAGATAGTAATAGACTGCATGGCTTGATCATTGTGAAATCTATCAAAGCAAAGTAGAGGGAAACCGAGTGTGTAGATAACTGAAGGTCAGTTGTGCCTTCAGTTATCTGTTTCCCTTCTTATCACAAGTTCTTTTCAGTCCCTTACACAAACAGGCCGGCACGTGTGTGCTGACATGCTGGGAACACCACATGTCTCTGAACAAATGAATCATAAATAAAAAGCTTTCAGATACATTGTTTCCGGCTTTATTCTTATCAAGAAAAAACAAGCAAACATGAAGATGTGGAGTGGAAAACACGTAACTATGCTGACAAAACGCACAAGTACACCAGTACTGCACGCCCTTGTGCCTGTTGACCACAGTCAGACTGTGGGATCACTCATAGGTCTCCAATCAAATCACACATCCTATCCTAGATAGTGTCACAACTCAGGTAGGGTTGAAACTCAGTGCATGTGACACAGAAGATGTGTATTCTCAATGCTGCAGCAAGGTCAGAGGAAACCTGTGGGAAATACACAGCAGCTGCAGTTAGAGTGTATTGTAATCAGTTTTTATGTGAGTAACAGGAGGCCACTGGATCAAGTTACAGTGTTCTGTCTTTATTCTCCCTGAATCCTCCTAACCCCCATGCTGGAAGAGTATTATAGCTTTCAGTGCAGAAGCTCCGAGAGAAAACCCCCTGCTCCCGTTACAGGATCAATGCGACTGCAAGCAGCTCTCCCCGTTTACAGCTGGATACCTTTGTTTTAGTGTCGGCACACATTTCATATGTTCACCTTGACAATATTAACATGCTGATGAACATTTTCAGCATTTCAATGTGTTAACTTTTGCTAGCATTAGGAAGTACAAATGGGGCTGATGGGAATTATTCATGGGATCATCAAAGTTGTAAGAGATGATCATAAAGGGATCATGAATGTCCAAACCAGGAGCTGTTGATACATACGACATACACATGTCAGCCTGCTGGTGGAAAGGTGAGTGGATCACCAGCTTGTACATCATCTGGGTACTTGAATGTCTGTACATCACTTCACAGTAATCAATTTCATATTTGGCATTTTATACAGAATGTGTTTGTAGGTTTGTAGATGTAAACTAATGTATTATATCAAAACCAATGCCAGTAAAAGTCTGAAGTATTTACAACTGTTAATTTCAGGTTTATTTGGAGCTTTCCCAAACCTCACTTCTCAGGTTTATTGATCTGAGTTTTATACAATGCACAGATGATAACGTTTCAGTGGTCTCATGTCTTTATGGTGGATATACACCGATGAGCCATAACGTTATGACCACTGACAGGTGAAGAGAAGAACAGGGATTTCCTTGTTAGAATGGCACCTGTCAGTGGGTGGGATATGTTAGGCAGCGAGTGAACACTTTGTCCTCAAAGCTGATGTTTTGGAAGCAGGAAAAATGGGCAAGCGTGAGGATGAGGGGACTTTGACAAGGGCCACATTTTGATGGCTAGACAACTGGGTCAGATCATCTCCAAAACTGCAGCTCTTGTGGGGGGTTCCCGGTCTGCAGTGGTCAGCACCTACCAAAAGTGGTCCAAGGAAGGAAAACTGGTGAACCAGCGACAGGGTCATGGGTGACCAAGGCTCATTGATGGGCGTGGGGAGTGAAGGCTGGCCCGTGTGGTCCGATCCAACAGAAGAGCTACTGTAGCTCAAATGACTGAAACAGTTAATGCTGGTTCTGTTACAAAGGTGTCAGAAAACACAGTTTTCCTGCTGTCGCTCAGTGCCTGCTCTGCTTTAAGCCCACACTCAGTCAAAGCCTCTCAGGATCTATTCCAGACAATGCAGTCAGAAAAATGCCCCACATTCACTGGGGTCCACTGTGCCTGGACTCATCTTTGTGGGGATAACAGCAAATATGTAGCTTTAAGCGTAAAGCTACATATTGTAATAAATGTCAGTGAACAAGAAGGGCAAAGATTCCCTCAAGGATAACAGGAAATTGCTGTTGTGGTTTCATCTGCTGGCTCTCTCGATTTAAAGGCATTTACGCTTCAGACAAAAAGGAATTCCAGATTGAAAAATGTAATATCAGGATTCTCTCTGTCCCAATGACATCCAGCGCTGGCCCCGGGCCTGGACTCTGACAGACGAGAAGCCCTAAGTCGTCTGTCTGCTTTGTTAAAGACTCCTTGTTGGAATCCCCTCCGCTCTGAACCTGCTCACCCCACAATGACTGAACCTACAGCCATGAAAATAAAAGCAAAAAAGTCTGACAAAATGCATTAAAGATGACAGCTCTGAGAGTTGGAGTTACATTTCATTTAGGTGTCCAGGAGTGAGCAAAAGTCCTGTCAGCTGAAATCCTGCTGTTTGACTCTTATCCCAAAAAGCACTATCAACTGTTTCATTTGTCAAATCAAGCTAAATATTCATTTATTTTAACCAACTATGGTCTAGATTAGAACCACTGGCTAAAAACATCAAATGAGTATGTGAAGAACAGAACAGCCCTTATTCAGTGAGTCAATAAAAGAGGGCCGCATTGAAGCAGCTGGTGGAAAAGTTAGCTATTAACCAAAGTGAATGGAAAGAACTCATGGACAGGACAGGCATACTTGGATCGTATTGCAGTGGTGTGACCATTTTCCTGGCCTGGTCAAACAAACAGCTTGTCCCTGCAGCATATTCCACCGACCTGTTGAGCAAAGATGCTCAGGCCAACGTCTAGCTCCAACAGGGAGAATAAAGTCAGGCTCCATTTCATATCAGAGACCACTTTAAACTCTGGCTGTTACCCGAGAGCAAACACAAACCAGGGACGGAAGCGTGTCAATAAATCAACTGCTCTCTGTCAGGACCTCGACACAAACTGATGAACCCAAATGCACGACCCAGAGACAAAGTCTTGAATTTAAACAAATGTAATTTTAATTTCACAGATCAGGTAATCCCTCTTAACAGAGTAGGTACTGGAAATAACAAAAGGCGCTCACAAGGAGGAAAAAACTAGGCATAACAAAAAGAGAACTTAATAAAAACTTAAGCCTACAAAATTAACAAAAGAAACAAAACCTGACATGAGTGAAAGTGATCCTTTCTGAGCTGAGGCTTGGCACGACCATTCTGAGAAACAAACAAGACGAACTGACACAGGACAGGGGAGAGACAGGACTATTTAAACATGAGGTGAGTGGGAACAGGTGGAAACAATCAGGGGCGAGGCAGAGACTGATGATGGCGGGAAAAACACACGGGGGGAGGAAGAAAACAGGGCCTGAAATGAAAGACAAGAGGTAAGTACAAAATAAAACAGGAAATGGAAAATGAGACATGACATGAAACACAGAGACTGACTAGAGATGAAGAACCTAAATAAACAGACATGACCAGACGTGAAAAAACATGAAAATGACAGAGATAATACATAAACATAACCAACACATTTGACGAGACACAACACTCTCACTGCCAACAGCCCGGAAAAAGGAGCAGAAGTCCCTGAGCCACCACTTTTACACCAAACATTCTGCCATCACCTTCCTATAACAATAATGATACTGACTTTTTAAATGATGTCTTGCATTGTACATACTGGTAAAAATATTTGTTTAGCTTATTATCCATTAATGCCAAAGCTTTGCCTTGCAACCTATGTCTCACAGATTGCAGTTTTGAGCAAAGAAACAGACAACAGAGCTTCCTTCAGTAGATTACCATGAGGAAAACCTTGCCCTAACCAGGAAGTGAAACTTCTAACAAATGCATTTTTAGGTTACACCATAGGCACTTTTTTAAATAGTTATTTTTTTATTGTATTATTTATTTAATTATTTATAATCTGACATTCTAAACATGTTGCCATGGCAGAATCCTTTTTTTATATTTTACCTGACAACTTAATTTAGCCAAACATTTATATTTGATCTATTGTATTGTCACATTTGAACTGCCTCACCATCTGTCAGATAGACATAATGATTTGAGTGCTGTCAGCCAATTAGAGTAACATAGGAGACAAAGAGAGCAGCTAGAGGAGCACAGCTTCTGTTAGCCTCTCGAGATGTATCTTCTTCCTTTTCTTAATCAGCTACAGATGACACATTTCATATATAATCCCAAAGCTACGGTTTTGCTCTGACTTCACGGGGCACAATCTGAACTAGGGCTGCACGATATTGGAAAAAACTGACATTGCGATATTTTGTTCCCCCTGCAATATATATTGCGATATGAAAAAATACAGGAATTGAAGAAAAGACCATTTTTTTTTGTCCGCAAACCATCCTTTCTTGAACTTTAATGCTATACAATTGGTATTCTTTTAACGATATTTAACTGGATGAAGGATTTTAGTCACAGACTTCTGGATCTTAAAGTGGACCTATCATGCTATATTTGAAACATATATTGTAGGGCCATACCTATACAAAACATGTCTGTGAAGTTTTTTTTTCAAAATACCAAACAGATCACCCATTGTAGCCATATTGCTCAAACCCCTCTTTTGCAGCCCTGTTAGAGAAACGCGGATCTTGGGTCATTAGCTTGAAAAAAAAAGAAGAAGGAGGCGGAGCTAATGC